GGGGAAGGGCGACCATCCTCGGCGTGCGCGTTCGACCGCAGATCGAAAGCAAAGGTCGCGATTGTGTTGGGCTGGCGAAGTGCAGCGGCCATTCTGGTCGCGCGCAAATGCTGCGACGTGGTAATCGGCGACAGACTCGTCGAGGGAGCGAGAAAGTTGAAGTCTGACCTGCGGCTATTTTGGATGCCTCCACAAGTGCACCAGATGCCGCGATGCGCGAAGGCCCGCGGCTTCATCAGTAAACGGAGGGCACGTTGCAAGGCGCGCCGGCTAAACGCGCGCACGCGACGACGCTGCGCGTTATTTTTTTTTTCGGGGGATGTTGGCTGAGCGCGGAGGCCGCGTGCGATTCTGAGGGGCTTGGTGGGCGATTTGACCGCTCAATGGGCTGGGCGCAGTGAAGGTGCTCGAGCAGAGCGTGCTCACGCTGGGGCTGAAAGTGGAGACTGACGAGTCTGGGCTTGTGGATGCGACCGACAAATCTACGCGTGAGTGCATGGGTGCAGCTGGCGGACCGGGCATTCGATGCGCTCGCTCTTTTCGAAGCCTTGGACATGAGCTGCGCGGAGGCAAGCGCGCGGGGCCAGCTTGACATCAATATTCGCGACGCGGTGAGCGTGGGGGTGCGACCCATGGCTCGAGACGCATTCGGCGCAACTATAGGCAGTCTGTGGAACGCGGGGGCGCCCCCAGCGGCAGCGCGTGGAGCCGTCGTGGCTAGACTGAGCGAACGCCGGCTTGCTCAACTCAGGAGGTATGGGAGAGACCTGACAGGCGCAGCAAGGAGAGGGGCTTCTCTCGTCGCGTATCTGGTAACGCAGGGCAGCCCAGAGTTCGATCCCTTGTCTGCCTCCACGTAAGGCCTGGCGGCGACGCGTGCCAGATTGAACCGAAGGGGCAGCCCTGGCAGATGAGGACGAGCATGGCTGCAAATGTGCCAAAGGTTTTCTAGCCGGGGAGTTTGTTCGATCTGCTGGTCTTGGGCGCGAGGTTCAATGGCTGCAGTTTGGTGCAGTCTTGCGTGCTATGGACGGACCCAGGCAACGATGTGTCTACGCTGCTCCTGCGCCCATGGGGGTTTAAGTGACGACTGCGCGAAGGCATCGGTCGCTGGCAGCGCGAGGAGTTCCCGTGCCGCCAGAAAGCTGGAGTTGGCATCGAGACGCCGCTTTGGAGAGGAGCTGTCAGAGTTGTGGTCGAAGGGGAAGGGCGAAGGTCAACGAGTCCCGTCAGGCTGGCTGCGCACGCGCGCTTTGGGGTGGACTGTCTCGGACTCAAGCGCAGAGATGCCTCGTGGGGCCCGCCAAATCAGAGGCCAGCCGGGTATGTGACGAGCTTGGGGATGCACCACGGCCTCGATGTCATCGTTGCCGAAGGCTTCCCGTTAGGATTGGCGACGGTGAGTGTCTGGGTCTTTCGAGGAAATTGTAGGGGTTCAGAAGTCGATGACCGACGCAGGGTATCACATTTGCACGGGCGGCCCTGGCCATGATGCGCTCGGGCTGCCGCATGGACTGCCAATCGTGGCAACTGAGGTGGAGAGGCCTGGTCAGACGGTGGATGTTTGTTTCTGGAGACATTTGGCTTCGGATGTCAAAGGTTGTCAGGTCTCATCTTTGCGGACGAGTCTGGACTGGAGTCTTCGATGCCCGAATTGGGGCGGTTTTGCCGGTTTCGTCTGATGGGCTCCTACTGCGCGCGGCATTATCATCGCTTGGCGCTCGACAAACGATGGGAAGGGCCACGGGTGCGCTGTTGTTCTAGGGGGGCCCAATTCCCCGGGGCGAAGCTTATGGCATCTGACCTGGGTGACCATGTCAGGGGAGGTCACAGCTAGAACTCCCCATCGGAGGGTGAGGCGGCTGAGCGCGCTGGCATTCAGAGGAGCACGCTCGCGACTGCCATGATAGAGCCACTTGCTTTTGCAAGGGCACCAGGACAGATGAATGGGAGTGGATATCCGGAGCTGGGTCAGTCGCCGGCATGGCGGCGCGGCAGCTGCTGGGCTGGCCGCTTTGTGAAGGACGGGGCTATTGCTCGCAGAGATCCCAGTGTATTCGCGGAGATTTGAGGTCGAGCTGGAGAAGCGCGCCCAACGCGTCAATCGATATTTTGCCCAGACCATGATGTCCATGATTGCTGAAGGAGCTGAAGAAGGACCCAGAGCTGCTTCCCGAGCCGCGCGAGAAAGGTGCGCCGACGAGGTGGATGATCAAAATTCGCCGCTTCATTAAGGTGGCGAATGGTTTCTTGCGATGTCGACATTGTGTTGTGGCAAAGGTGGCGACGAAGCAAGCGTTCTTGCCGACATTCAGTCCACGCAATGCGTGCCAACGGAATCGGGCCGCGCGAAGTGTCAGGCCCAGGTGGGTTCCATTAGTTTGATTGCCAAGCCTCCTGTCAGTACTGTTTCGGCCGCACAGGCGCTGCTGTTTGTTGACAGTTACCTGGGGCCAGATCAGGATGCTGGTGACGTGGTGGATGTGACCAGCGAGGAAAG